CTACCAAAAATATTATTTATTAATCACATAAAACAATTTTTTTAATTTAGTGAATTGATTCATATATTATAAAAACAAATAAACTTAATCCCATGATAAGAAAATAATAATATACTTAGTACCCACCTATAGTAATTCAAATTAATTATTACTTTACACCAAGAACTCGAAAGTCGGTTAATTTTATGGATATGGTTTTCATTCCAACAAGGTAAAAATGTAATTTATAAGTAAAATAGGTACTCTTAAATTAAATAATATAACTTCTTCCAAAGAAAATAATGATCCATAATCCAATCTTTTTTTTGGTAAAAAATATTTTAATTTAACATATAAAATAGTCGATTCAAACTAAGTCTCAATAGTATAGAACTCGAATAAAAAAATATTTGGCCGTAAAATATTCTCTATTTAACGAAAACTGCTGTACTTAACTACTACGGCTACCCAACAAAAAAATTTGAAACACAAAATTTTTAGATTCTGAGCATAGCGATGAATGTATTGATTTTACAATTATGTGTTTGTTATTTTTTTTTCTGTGTCTGTTAATGGTTGTTAAGAAATTTTAAAAAGCGTGGAAAACAAAAAATAAAAATAATTAAAAATAAGGTTTATTGTAGTATAACTTATAAGTATAATAGACCTAATAATTAATATATATAGTAAATTGTGCTGCAACGTGACGTATATACCTACCTAAATTAAAAAAAAAATTACTCTGTACGAACTACGAAGTATATAATTCTACGTATATAGGTGTAAGACTTAAATCAATTGATTTCAAGATATAATATGACTTTCATACTCAAACATGTAAATAAAATTTACATAAAATGCATGTAATATTTTAATACTTTAGTTTTATGACGAACTGTATTCGAAATTAAATTTTTTTTTTATATATTTATTTATTTAATTTGTCTTTTTTTCCGTCGATTTTTTTTCTGACTACCACATAATATAATAATGTGTATATTATATATTTTTTTCCTTGGTCTTTTTTTCCGACTACCATTTTGTATTGATTATAATTTATCACACATTTCCATTCCAAATAATAATAATATTAAATATCATATTTAAATAATTAATACCTAATAGAGACTAGAGAGTAAAGTTACGTTTAGTTTAATTTAATTTAGAGATAAGTTGTATTAGGCGTAAGTCACCAAGTCTTTATTAAGTATTTCTTGTTAATTACTAACTAAGCATATTATAATATACTATGCGATGATCTCCACCTCATGATTATTCCCCAGTTGCTATTCAGCTTAATCTAGCCTCACTGGCAGAGCGCAGGCGCATTATGGGTAGCAAGTTCTTGAATGGACTGTTAGATGGTAGTGTTGATTCCCCAACTTTACTATCCTTAATTAATTTTAAAGTACCCCAACGCTCCACCCGCTCCATTACTCCATTTCATGTCCCTTTTTGTTCCACCAACTACTTACTAAATGAGCCTTTAAGGCGTATGATGCATAATGCCAATCTGGACCCCACTTTCTCTTTTAGTTAGCTCTGTCATATTTATTATTATTGAAATGCATATGTATATTTTAGATTCTGAGTGAAACGATGGATGTATTGATTTTACAATGATGTGTGTGTTTTTTTTTTTTGTGTCTGTGTACACGATAAGTAGTCGAAATAATGCTTCGATTTTCGACTTCAGTAGGTATCTTGTTCGATTGGAGAGTGAATATCGTTGGTGCATTGGGGAGGTAAAAATTTAAAATTCCCAATAGTTTTCACAAGCGCCGGGAAAAAACAACATAAAAATGAAGGAAAAACGGGAATTTTTACGCAAAATAGGTTTTTGACAAAATCGAATTTGGTTTTTGGTGTAACTTTAAAACAAATGACTGTAGGAACATGAAATTTTGACTGGTTGTTTATATTAGCCTTTTCTATACACGATAACATTTTCAAAATATTTTGATTTATTATGAACTGTTTAGGGACATTTTCATTTTCCATTTTTTTTTAGTTTTTTTTCTAAAATATCAATAAAATTTTGTTTGTTGAGTAGAAATACTTGAAAATTTAATACAAGGTTCCTACTATATTGTTTCAAAGGCAGATGAAAAATATTAAAAATCGTTAGTCACAGTTTTTTTTTATAAGCATTTAAAGTTCAAAAATTGACAAATCACGAAAATTAGCAAATTATTTTGAGTTAAGTATTCGTAAAAATTTTCTTTTTAAATCTAAGATTTGAAAATGTAATACAAGATTACTCATAAGTTTGTCTACCTTTATCAATAAAAAAATCTCTACCGGACAGTCAAATTAAATTTTTATGAGCGTTTGAAATTCAAATTTTTACAACATTGGATGTTCACTCGATTTCTCATGTTGCGATTTCCTTATTTTATTGTTATTCATAAACGAATAACTATAGATACATGAAAATTTCACTGAATGTTTGTATAAGCATTTCCTATACAACATACAATTTTGAAAATATTTTGACTCTTTTTGAGCTGTTTACGGATATTTTCATTTTTAAATTTTTTAGTTTTTTTTTCTATGAATATCAATAAAGTTTTATCTGTTGGGCCAAAAGTGTAAAAATTTAATACAAGGCTCCTGATATATTGTTACAATATCAGTTGAAAAATATTAAAAATACATAGGCACAGTTTTTTTTTATAAGCATTTAAACATCGAATTTTAACAGAATTTTTCAAAATCTCGAAAATTATTAATCATCGTAATTAATAAATTATAAAATAATCAGTTTTTATAGCTAAGGATTGAAAATTTAAGACAAGATTCCACGTAAGTAGTTAATTCTTTTACCAAAACATCTAAAAATTATACAATCACAGTTTATTTTTATAGTCATTTTATGTTAAAATTTGGACGAAATTACACATTAAAAAACCTAGTTATTTTGTTGTGATTATATAATATTATTCATGGGTACCTACTTGAAACTTCTAAAGTTTACTATTATATATCAATGATAGTATCAGGATTTGTTATTGATGTTGATGTATAACGTGTTATAAGTACCTAATGGATACTGTGATAATGTGATATGATTAATTTGGAATTTATTATAGGTCAATTTTTTTTTAATACCATAGATATGTATATAATTTGTCTTAAACCTAGACTGACATACCGTCTTCGCTCAGAATCGTTTTTCTTATACAATGATATTGTATCATTGAATTCAAATTTAATACCATCCATTATACAGTGACCCACTTGCAACCTACTGTACAGCAGAGCGACATCCACTTACCCACCTTTTTTAATATTATTGTTATTAATATTATTATTTTTTGTTATTTTTTTCATCTTCTATTTAATTTTCTTTCTTTGTAAACCATATTATTATCAGTTTTTTCTATGTAAAAAAAGGGCCTAGCCCGTATATTCCAATAAATAAAATAAATAAATAAAATAAATAATGTAATCCAGGCAAATTATCTAAACAAAGAAAATTTTATTATTTAACAATTTATGTTCCAAACTACTGTTATTTGAAACTGTAATTAAATTACTTTAAATTATACATACAACAGAATTCTGTGTTAACCACAGAATAGATTAAAATAAAATTTTAATTTAAAATTTAATCTATTTCGAGGTTTAAGTGTTAAACATTAATATTTCAAAAACATTTGTAAACCATATTATATAATATTGTGTATTATAATTGTACATTTATAATTGTTCAAATCATACATATTATTATATAGTTATATCTACACAACAATAAAAAATCATTTATATTGGAATATTTGAAGTTGAAATAAAATCAACGATATCTTAACTCTAGTAACATAAATCCTCTGTTATTATACTTATTATGTGTATATTATATTATATATGGTTACGTATAAAAAAGAGGGATGCAGGCACTAGTGCACAGCAGCTACCTACCTATACCTATCACCTATGGCAATATGGCATGCTAAAAAGTGGTTTTTGAGAGGGGGTATTAGAAAAAAACAACCAGAGGACCAGAAGATTCAGCCACCGCCCACCAACCATCAAACCGTGTTCTGACGCTGAAGTGTAACGTCCGTCGCACTTTTCAAGAGATCTTACAATTCGTAGGTCTTTTGCAGTCAAAATACCAAAACATTTACTACCTACCTGTAGCTACGTAACGTCGTAATATCGATTTATCGACTGAATATTTAAACAGTAAGTGTTGACATTTTATTATTTCATAAATAATCAATATAATATTAATATTATAATTTGACGTACCGTCACCGAAAACTTTAAATTAAGGCTTTATTATTTGTATGACCTATGTCTGAAAATGTTTATAGGTATGTTACCTATATAACTTATATAATATACATATAAATTAATATTCACGTGATATCTAATTTATTTCTTTATTTAACGTTCTTACAATAATAGTATAAATAATTAAATAAAAAAATAAAAATATTTTTAATCATTTTTTTGAAAAAACACATCAAAGATTAAATAAACATGTATGGATATAAATTATAATCTCTGTCCAAAAAAATTAAAAGAAAAACGCCGTTAAAAATTTATTCAAATAAGATTTTTGTCTGAATTGACTTGCAACATATTACAGATACTGAATACACTCAAAATTAATTTTTATTTATGTTGTTGAGTAATCTTACGGTAAATTCACCAATAATAAAAATTATAGGGAATAATATTTTTGAGAGTAAGATTTGTCTAAATAATGTCTCAAAAAAATTTATAATATTAATTTAAATGTTTACATTTTTTATTTTTAAAGTCTAATATAAAAACGATTCTTCGTGAATGCGTCATATAAATGTTGCGAGTGGGTCTGAGATATTAATACCAAATATCCTCTTCGGAAATTTATGTAATTTAATGAATATGGAAATAGAGAATCGTATTATTATTATTGTCTTCAAATTTGATATATTTAGGTAGGAAACTACTTATAATTATTTCCATTAAAAAAATTATTTTCTGTGATTTTCTAATTCATATTGTTGTCTTTATTTTCAGTGGACGAAATGAAACAGCTAGCAGAGGCATTAATGCAGTGTAAATCATTCAAAGAGCGACAAGAACGTCTGAGTGAATCTCTAGATCATCTGTCATTCAACTATCCTGATCTATACACCATGTTGTTTAAAGATATGAAAAAAAGAGAACTGGATTCCAATAATTCAAGTAAAATTACTAAATGGATAAATAATCAATCGTCCAAATCATTTGTAAAACTTCATGAAGCATTAATGTTGGTAAAAAATAACAACATAATGGCCAAAGAGGGGTATATGTACAATTTAAGGCATATGCTAAACCAAACAATTGCAAATGGTACCAACATTGAGATAGTAGTGAAAATATGCAATTTGATTGAGAAATCACCAAACTTGACCATCATTCACGAGTGAGTTTAAACTTTGATTTTTTCAATACATTTTTCAACTAATAAAACCATTTTATAAATTTTCAGGAATTTGAAACACCTAATTAACCAAGTAAATCAACTGAACAACAGTCGTGAGCGCCACATGCCGACTGAAACGTTGACAGGAAACTTTTGGCCAAATTATTTTAGACCACCACACGTAGATCCTTTTCAACCATTTAATATTCGGCCAGCTCAACAGCCGAGTACCTCTGTTTGGCCAAACATTCTGCAACCGACAAATTTAAATTCTGCTCCTGGTCTACCACATTTTAGAAGTAAGAATTAATCATTGACCAATCACATAAGAATACTTAAATAAGATGTACAATTTGTTTTTTCAGTGGAATGTTTTGGCTACAACCATCTAGAAATGTTTGCAAAGACCAAGATGATGGCCAGTACCTTGGAAGACCCACAGTCACTTGAAAATCTTACGATTCTCGATCAAGAAATGGATGGAGCAGTTGCTAAGTGGCTTCACTACTTGAAACTACACAAATACCAATGGTTCTTCAACAGCCTCAGTTATCTGGAAATTGAATTCATTGATGAGGACAATATTGATGATTTCATAGCTAAAGTTAACAAAAACTCAATTACAAGAGGTGCTCAAAAAAAGATATGCTTGTCAACAAAGACGTTAAGGGATCGTTCACAAAAGTTGAACAACTTATTATTGGTAATATTTTGAATACATACCTTTATGACTTTTGGGTAAACAAAACTAATAAATGTAAATTACTTTTGATTACAGGCTTTGGATTTGGAAGTTACTCCTAATGAACTGTGTGAATTCATGTCGTACATGCGAGACATATTGCATTATCCCATCCCGAACAAGAATTGTGTGGTTGGCGACCAACTACAACAAGACCTAGTCCTTGTCATGGAGAAACTGCTAAATCAACTGCTTGAGAAACTTGGTAAGATTCGTTCTTTAGCTGCCCAGAGTCTACTTGGAATGTCTATCAATAAGTACTTGGAATGCACCTTATTAATACTCGGTAATCAAACATTCATGAAACAGCAAATTGACCAAACATCAATGTTTGCTGAAACTTTGAGATGTAGAGTCCATAGAATTCCTAGAAACTTTAACTAATTTTTTCATTATTATTCAATTGGAATTCATATTACATATGCATAATGCATTTTTTAATATTATCATTATTGTTTGTGACTGATGCCTACCAGAATTATTTTAATTTAATTGTTTTTTTTTATTTATAATTTATTTAATTGTTTACGATCTTAATTTTTAATATTTTTATACAGATGCATGTTGTATTAAACTGTTAGTATTCACAATTTATTATGGTTAACTTAATAATTCGGTGCTTTAAACACTTGAATAATATTAATACCATCATAGTTTTATAATTGGTAAAATATTTTATTCTTTTACTATTTTATGTAACCAAAAGACTTTGATTTTTATTGTTGTGTGTTAATTATATTTAAAATCTATTATGGTTGAGTTTTTTTGATTTTGTGTTAATTTAATTTAATTGTTCTGTTTTAAATGTTTTACATTAGTTTTTATTTTTTGACCATTATGTATGTAACCATTACAAGACTATTGTTTATTTTAGTATTATTGTTTTGTTTATAGTCTATCACTATTTAAACTTTTTTTTTAATTGTACTTTTTATGGTTACTTCATTTGATATAATATTTTTGTTCATAAAATTATAAATTATTTCATACATTATTCATAATATAGACCTGTTTTTTTTAAATGTTGACTACTACAGTTATTTATTGATTTGTGAACTGAGTGACCTGTTTATTTTAATATGATTAAAACATACTGATATTTGGCAGAACTTCATTTTATTTTACTATTTTAAGTACAACAACTAGGGGAGTACAAAATGTATTCCTCTTTAGAGTTAAGTATAACACATATAACTAATTGAGTATTTTTCTTCACCTTTTTATCAGGGAACAGAGCACTATTTAGAATCCAAATACTTTTTAATTTACATTTACACAATTAAAGGGTTGATAAAAAATGTAAAGAGTTAGTTTTATAAACTTATTAATTATTTATTGATTTTTGTTTATGAATAATTAAGTTATCATCATTTATAATCCATAAATTACAATATATGAATCAATGAATTTAATTTTTATATTATATTTATTTATATTACCTTTGACATAGGTAGGTAATTCAAATATTAATACTTTTTTCCTCCTCATCTTCATAGTGTAGTTATTTGAGAGTAGGTACATCATTACCAATTACCATACAGTTTTATAATTAAAACTTGGTATTAATTATATTCCAAAGATTTTGTTTATTCTGTTTTCATTGGTTCCTATATCAATGGTTATAAGGCAAAACATTTAAATACTGCACACACATTTTTTGGTCCTGAAATTTATTTTTAAAATCAAACGGTATATTATAGCATATTGAATTAAGTTAATGCTACCAGAAATTAAATTAATCACTATTTCTGACCTAAATATCATTGGATATCTACCCTGTCTCTGTGAATCGAATATTTAAACATAGATCACGATGTAGAGAAGATATCTTCTCTATATTGTGACATAGATTTATATTTTGAATGAATGACGGACAATTAATATTTCAAATTTGTGTAGTAAATACATTATCTTAATTGAATAATATAAAATACTTTAAAGTGTATTCTTGTTTATGATTAAATGGCCATTCCACCAGTTAGTCACGCTATATTTGTGGAAGCACTCAAAAAAGTTCCAAAGCTATTGGTAAAATAAAAAAAAAATCATATAAACCCGCAGTGTTTGTTTTAACCATTTTACATGCATAGAAACCACTTTTCAAAGGTAATTTTTTGGCCCTATTAGTTGAAATGATATTGCATTTGTAACATCATTTTTTGTTTTTAAATTATATTTTTGTACACTATGGGACCACAAACAATAGATATAATGCTTGGACATTTTGCAGAAATTTAGAAAAATCGTCAGTGATCACAAGACTACAGGAGAATGAGTCTATATATTAAATCTAATTCAGTGTTTGGAATGAACGTTGTTCATTAACGCTCTTTCACTTGTTTATGTTCATATTTAATGAACGATACATGAATGTCATTATTTTTTTAATATAGAACTTGAATGACTTTTACATATTTAATAAATATTGATTGATAATACTATTATGAATTATGATATATAATATATTACAAATTATAAAAAGGTGGGTAAGTGGATGTCGCTCTGCTGTACAGTAGGTTACAAGTGGGTCACTGTATAATGGATGATATTAAATTTGAATTCAACGATATAATATCATTGTATAAGAAAAACGATTCTGAGCGGAGACGGTATGTCAGTCTATTTATAAGACATATTATATATGTATATAATATGTCTTATAAAACAAAAAATTGACCTATAATAGGTACCTATAATAAATTCCAAATTAATCATATCACAATGTCCATTAGGTACTTATAACGCGTTATACATCAACAAAAACCGTGATACTATCATAGATATATAATAGTACACTTTAGAAGTTTCAAGTACCCACGAATAATATTATTCAATCACAACAAAATAACTAAAATAGTTATTCTAGGTTTTTTAATATGTAATTTCGTCCAAATTTGAATTTAAAATGTCTGTAAAAAATAACTGTGTTCATATATTTTTTAGATTTTTTGGTTACAGTATGAACTATTTATGAGAACCTTTGTTTTAAATTTGCAATCCTTAGCTATAAAAACTGAACATTTTATAATTTATTAATTTCAATGATTGATAATTTTCGAGATTTTGATAAATTTTGTCAAAATCTGATATTTAAATGCTCAGGAGCCTTGTATTAAATTTTTACACTTTTTGGCCCAACAGATAAAACATTATTGATATTTATAGAAAAAAAAACTAAAAAAAATTGAAAGCTGTAAATGTCCATAAACAGCTCAAAAAGAGTCAAAATATTTTCAAAATTGTATGGTGTATAGGAAATGCTAATATAAACATTCAGTGAAATTTTCATGTATCTACAGTTATATGTTTTTGAATTACAACAAAATAAGGAAATCGCTACATGGGAAATCGAGTGAATATTCAATGTTGTAAAAATTTGAATTTCAAATGCTCATAAAAATTTAATTTGACTTTCTTATAGACATTTTTTTTTTGATAAAGGTAGATAATCTTATAAGGAATCTTGTGTTTAATTTTCAAATCTTAGATTTAAAAAGAAAAATTTTTACGAATTCTTAACTCAAAATAATTTGCTAATTTTCGTGATTTTTCCATATTTTGTCAATTTTTGAACTTTAAATGCTTATAAAAAAAAATTGTGACTAAGGATTTTTAATATTTTTCATCTGCCTTTGAAACAATATATTAGGAGCCTTCTATTAAATTTTCAAGCTTTCGCAACCAACAAATAAAATTTTATTGCTATTTTTAGAAAAAAAACTAAAAAAAAATGGAAAATGAAAATGTCCCTAAACAGTTCAAAATAAATCAAAATATTTTGAAAATGTTATCGTGTATAGAAAATGCAAATATAAACAACCAGTGAAAATTTCATGTATATACGTTCATTGCTTTTAGAGTTACACCAAAAATCAAAATCGATTTTTTGGAAAACCAATTTTGCTTAAAAATTCCCGTTTTTCCTTAATTTTTAAGTTGTTTTTCCCGGCGCTTGTGAAAACTACTGGGAAATTTATACTTTTGACCCCCCAAAGTACCAACTAGATTCACTTTCCTATCAGAAAAGCTACTGATGAAGAAAATCCAAGCACTTTTACTGTCCTAAAACGTGATGACAGACACAAAAATAAAAAAAAAAATAAAAAATAAAAAAAAAATAAAAAAAAATAAAAAAAAAATAAAAAAAAAAACACACATCATTGTAAAATCAATACATTCATCGTTTCACTCAGAATCTAAAATAAAATAGGTACATGAACTATGAAATTCCAGTGGGCACGTCTGGACATAAAATAACATGGCCATAGGCGTGTCTACGGGTCATGCCTGTCATGCACAGGCATGACCTTCGAAATTTGGTCCAACTTAGGTACATTATAAATTGGGGTGCATAATATACATTTTTTTTTCTAAGTGTCTGATTTCGTGTTAAGTTTTTTGATTTTCATCACGTAAAAATAAACGTTTGTAAAAAGTATTAAAAGTATTAAAATAATTATATTTTAAAATTAAATACTAAGTACAATTTCATAATATAACCTACCTAGTTATTTATTTATCTGATAAAAGAAATATCGTTTTTTATTCCTAATAAAAAAAGTAAAACTTATTTAATTATTATCAGATGATAAAGCTTATTTCAAAATTGGGGGTCATATTCCCAAATCTTAATCTAATTTTTTTTGGGGGGGGGGATGCAGTTTTCTCCCCTGAATATGCCACTGTTGTGCACGACCTGCGGATAAGATCTGGACACGCCTATGAACATGGCCCATGGGGTAGTGGGGACAAATGCTATATTAACAATGTATTTATATTTTATTAATAATGCATACATTTTTTTATCTAATGTGCATGAATATAAGTATGGAATTTGTTAAAGCAAAATTATTATTTAGTTATAACACCTGTTATAGTAACAACGTTGTTAACAAATAACAAAATAACAAATAACAAAATAACAAATAACATTAGTATAATACTAGTAATACTAATAATATTCCTCGAAAAATTAACAAAAATATTTTATTTTTCTATATTATATCTCAAGAAGTACCATCACTGGATGGTTTCTTCGCTCAAATTCTCTGTCTTTTTCTCTTTATTTGTATTTGTATTTTTATTTTATTAATCTACAACACTTACACTTATTGTAAAAAAATAATATATTTACAGATTGTGTAATAAAACTAATTAAAAACAAAAAAAAAAATATTATATCTAAGCATACAGACAGATAGCGGTACTTAGTTAAGATTGAGATTAAGATTTATAATTTTTTTTTTTTAATTTGAATATTTTCTATATATGTTTGTGTGCATTGCAACCATTAATAAACAAAAATTTCTATCGTAAATCTCAAATTTCCTTTTTGAGCACTTCCCACTTCCCAGGGGTGTTTCTCCTATATATTATGCATGTTA